GAGTGGCCGACATCGTTGAATATGTTTGGCCGGTCCGACCCCAACAGCTCGCCCACAGCCACACTCAACTGGTCGTCGGGATAGCCATAGATCAGTAGCGGTTCGCCGGGTGTCAGCTCCTGGCGATCTGACAATACAAGGTTTTCCGGCAACGAGTCCTTCTCCACGAACACCCGAATGACCGCCAGATCCATATCGGGCTGACAGTACACCACTCGACCCGTCATGAAGTCAGTCGACTCGACGCCACTTTCCATGTCTGGGTGGAGAATACACATGTCTACCGATATTGTGAGCACAACGTCCACCTCCTGGAAGTCCTTAACCACGTGACTGTTTGTCATAACGAGTCCAGACTTGTCCACAATAAATCCCGTGCCTAAGGGGTCACCGCCTATCGGTTGGTAATGGTGACTACCGGTGCTGACTAGCAGATGAACAGAGTAGACAAGGCAGCGGTTGCCTAGGTTATTTACTCGCTAAGAACACCAATAGTTACCAAACTTACAGAACAAACGGTTTGTCTTTGCGTGACTTTTGGTGGCCTTTTTGTTGCATTCATTCCAATGATATCCCGCTATTATAGCCGGTATTGACGCCACTAATGGGACACTGATTTTGGGTACAAATATTTGATTTGTTTTTCATTTTATTAAATTATATATATTTTTGTGTAAAAGTAAACCTTTTGCTGTATTTTAAAAATAAAGCATTCAATCGATACATATTTGCGATCAAATAAAACTAATTTCAACAGAAAAAATTATTCAATTCATATAAATCTGTGTTTAAATTGATTACTGAAGTAATGTAACGAACATTTTAATTGTAAAAACATTAGTTTGAATACAATAATCAATATTAACACTAAATTTTTTCACAAAATAACGTGATTTTTAAAGTAATCTCCTATTTATTAATAGTAATCATTGTTTTACTCATAAACATTAACCGGATTTATGTTTGGATTAATGCACAAAATGTTTAGCATTTTAAGTTTTGTAATTTTAATTATAATCTATTTATTATTTTTAAATTTAAATTTTAATGTATTTTGAGTGAAAATTTTTTAATAAAATAAAGATTACAAACATTACTAAATACTAAAACACATTAAAAATAAGAAAATGGATATAAAAATCAAAACAAGAATCATATAAATGAAATGCAGTGCTAAACAAAACGTGTTGAACTGTTGCATAAATCATCTAGATTGCCAGCAATCGGCGGTATAGTAATCACATTAAACACGTCATTCACCGATAAGTCCACCCCTTGACCGCACTTTAGCCTCTCTGCGGCCCAATACATGTCCTGAATGGACACGACTCGCGTGCCGTTGATATGTGTGATCACATCACCCCTTCCGAGATTGCTATTTGAATGCAAATCATAGCGATTAATGTATTCATGAAATGAGTGTTTGTTTCAACAAAATAGCCTACAGTTGAGCCTTGAATTCTTCGGTCGAGTCCCACACGAGTATACCGTCTTCATCGCTGTTTAGCTGTAAATTGGGGTAAAGTTGGCCGATCTGTTCCCTCAACTGCGTGTCCACCCAATAGACCACAAGACCCAGCGCTGGACCGGGTTTTGTGGGGTTATAAGTATTGACAAAATAGTTCAATTGGTCTGAAAATAACAAAAAATAAAACAATTTACAAATTTTATGTGTAATTCAATTAGTATTAAACAAAACAATGGGTAATATTTACCCATATAAACGCTGTTAATGGGGACAGCGATGTGATCGGTTGTGCCCCACATCTGTAGAGTAAAGCCAACCAACAGACCGGCGGGTGTGACGAGTGCGGCGCCCGTATCGCCGTTATTAATGGGTGTCGTGTGTTGTATAAACAGTTGGTTATCGATGTCATGGACTAGTGATTGGAGCTCTAAAATGCTTTGAAATGTGTAGCCGGGAGCTGACGGATCAAATACAACACCATCGCTGAGTTGATTGTATAGCGGGCACCGGGAGGTACACACAGACAGCACCGTGTCGTCCATCGTGAGAGTCCCGGGGACGCCGAACGCGGGCACCGGCCACTGATAACCCGCCGGCAGACCCTTATTGTCGAGCATAAGTACTACGATTTTCAACGCCTCTATAATGTGCACGACGTGGCCGTAAACCTCCCGCCCGTCGCCCAGTCGTACGAGATATCGGGCGTCGTTCGGACCCAACACCTCGTGTATTGTCATTACAAACCCTCGCGCGTGAAATATAAAGCCGGAGGACATGTGCCACGACTCGGTGCCACAACTGGGCTCGCAGTCTGACTGACGGAATGACGGCTTGATTGACACAAACGGCACAAACCACTGGTCGCTGAAAGGCTTGACCGCCGGCTGAGGAGTAGTTGGTGTCGAAGAAGCCATTTGTGTGATTCGCAACAGAGAGTGACCATTGAATCCGTTGTTGGCCACCAATGGTAGTGATTGTCCATCTCTTCGGTTGTATTGAATCCAGTAATTGGTGCCAATCGTCGCCGCGATTGCGCTTCTGGTGAACAAAATGTGTGTTTAGTATTGATTTGATTGAAGTAATGAATGTTGTATTTAAATGCTAACCTTCTAAAAGTGATCAATCGATTCATTCCTCAAATCTATTTAAATAAAATTCAATTAAATGTTAAATTAAAGCCTCAATTGTCTGAACAAAGATAGCAATCAATAAAATTGGTTTCAAACAGACATTAAAATCAACTGAATTTGAATTTACTATTTAACAATACATAAAACGAGAGTAAATAAAGTTTTAATTATTGCACTCTATATTAACCCATTGTTTAACTCAAATGTGTTTAAAATAAATGAATTAATTAAATAAAACAGAAATTAAATTTTAATGATCGGAAACGAGAATTGGACTTAAATTGATATCTATTTTACTATTAAATTAAACCAAAGTTTAAAAACAAATTAACAATAAATATAAGAGTAAATGTGATATAAAATGCAACATAAGATCTAAACCACTGAATAGTTGTGATAATCTCCAGGCAATGGCTTAACCTTAATCTCCACATCCAATCCCTTTCTATTGACCGTCAGGTTTAACGGCTGGCCATCAGTTAGTGCTTCAATCGCTTTATCCAATTGCGAAAACGTGGTAAAAGTTGTGCCATTGATTTGCATAATGCAATCGTTTTCACTAAATTTTTCGGTCCTTTTTGCGCAAAAAAAACAAATATCACATAAATTAATGTTATGTTTCAATACAAAAACCATTATATAATGAAAAACACAAACTCCGGGACATCGGGTCGGGTATTAATGGGCGGAACGGAGACCACAAACCTATTCCCCGGCCTCTGCTCTACGACTACTCCCAACGATCTCTTGCCGGACATCGAGTACTGCTTTATCTCCTCTTTTCGTTNGGGTCGGGTATTAATGGGCGGAACGGAGACCACAAACCTATTCCCCGGCCTCTGCTCTACGACTACTCCCAACGATCTCTTGCCGGACATCGAGTACTGCTTTATCTCCTCTTTTCGTTCAAACTCTTTGCCATTAGTTATGAGATCTAAAAAATAAACTTAAATTATTTCAACACATGATAAACACACTTTCCATACATGACTTTAACCAATATCACACATACCGGTCACATGACTGGACAGAGCGGCGGTCCCGCCGTTGAAGAGTCCGGCGAAGTGTACTCCGAGTACAGCGCCGTTGCGGTCGAGTATTGGACCGCCGGAAAAGCCGACAGTTGTCGGCGCCGAGTGTTGCAGTTGTGGCCGATCTATATTATAAGAGTTCATTATTTGCTGAAAACACGACATACCGGTAAAGACATCGGGCCTATCGGTGCCCAACACAACGCCCACAACTGTACTGCCGGCCAAACCCGGGTTCCCAACGGCCAGCATTGGTTCGCCGGGCGACGGGTCGCGGGTCGACAACGAGAGCGCCGGTAGGGCTTCGTGTGAGACAAACACCCGGACGAGCGCCAAATCGAGCTCAGGCTCGCAGTACACCACTTGTCCGCCGATTGTGTCGACCAAATCGTCGGCGCTTTGGTTGTCGAAGAGCTCGAAGAGTGGCGTCGGAAACGATAGCTTAACCAAAACGGTTTGACTGTCGGCCAACACATGACAGTTGGTCACAATGAGTCCCGTGTCGTCCACAACAAACCCGGTGCCCATCAATTGGCCCGCAATTAACGTCACAATAGACTCCATTGACTCGTCGTATATCTCTCTCATCTTCGCCGCCAAAGCCGTGTCCAACAAATGAGCTCTTCTTAGAGTTGTTGGCAATGGTTTGAATGGTGTGTTTGTCCGCAACTTTGAATGACTTTTGATGGTATTGTTATTGTCATTGTGTCCGATGTGTTGATACCGATAATTACCGCCAATTATGGTCGGAACCGATGTCGACATAAGTAATGGGAAACTAATTTTTATTTTGCGATAAAATTTTTGTTTAATAAACAGTGAATACTTTTTGATGTATTTCTTGATTAAAACTCTCAATAAACACATATTTTATGATTTTATTTGTTTATAAATTAAGTTATTTCTTATTTTTTCAATGGATTTGTGTTTAAATCTGAATTAATGTAACGAACATTTAAATCAATCAATAAATACAATAATTGAAATAAATGTAAATCTCATGTAATAATAATTGTTTTTATTTGTATATCAAATGAATTGTTTAAATGCCAGAGAAATACAATGAAATAAACAGAAAATTTGGTTTAAAACTAGTCATAAAATATCGAAATAAAAATAAAACTTAAATTCAAAACAAAAATTTAACTAAAAAATAGGGCAAAAAATAACAATAAAATAACTAATGAGACAATTGTTGGCTGAATATAATTAAAACACAGAGCAATTGAAGGCATAGACGTGACAGTTGATGGGCACCGACTGTTGACCACGATCCACAAGGAGGGGAAGCACATTACCGGTGAGGCCACTGATGGCATCAGTCAATTGGGATAACTTATTGAATTCAACGCTATTGATGTGTGTTATTCGGTCGCCCGCTTGAAGTCCAACACTGTTTTCAATCCATTAAAACACAAATTCATTAAAAATAAGTTTTTAAAACAATACAAAAAGCATTTGAAACGCGATACAAAATAACAATCAATTTCATACTTAGCGTTGGGACTGTTGTGAATACACTTCTGGAAATGAAAGCCATCGTGATCGCAGCTCAACACCACTCCCAGCCCTCTCTTACCCACAAATGAGTACCGGTTTCGGCGTTCAGTCGGTTCGTACGCCAGACCCGCGGCTATAAACTCTGTTAAACAATAGTCAATATTAAACACTTATATTCAAACCAAACACCCGTAGTGTCTCCCTCTCTATACCCCCGCCCAACCCCTGTCCCGGTATATTACCTTTGACTTTATCGACGGAAATGATGTGCTGATGGTGGTGCACACCCGACAGCATAGCGCCCACCAAATGGCCATTCATGTTGACCACTGGTCCGCCGTTGTATTGGTTCACAGCAATGATATTATGGCTCATGTACTGCGTCTCCGGATTGAGCACATACTGACTGTGATAGTTGTCACCATAACCGGTGTCCGCTTTGGGCCCCTCCTTGCAGGCTATGGTGCCGGCGACGTAACCCCGTTTGCCGGTAGGCATACCCATAACGATCACCCGTTCGCCGACCTGTATCTCGGCGTCAGTTGCCATCGGCAGCGTTGGAATTACATTGGGGTTAATATTGAACACTTTGATGAGCGCCAAACCCAGCGACGGGTCCGCGTATATCACTTGACCGAACACTCTGGAGATGTTGAGATCCGGTGTCGTTGCGGTCGGACTTAGGTCTTGTTTGGGAAAGTCTTGTGACAGCCAGATGTTAACGTTGGTCAAGCCCTGAACGGCCAGCGCTGAGGTCACGGCATACGTGCCGTTGTCCACAAAGAATGCGCTGGAATTGCACGCTTCGCACAATGCGACCGATTGCTGCCATGTGTTGTAATGTTGGGCCACCTCTGACACCAATCGGACTCTTCTTAGTGCAAACTCCGGCCACAATCGTGTGTTTGTCCACTCCTTTGCCTCGTTTTGGCCACCGTTTCGTTGGCGCCAACAGTGGCCAGAGATGACAGCTATGGGCGCTAGTATTGGGGCACTTGTTTGACAGGAAATGCCGGTTAGATATACATTAGATGCCAAACAAGCGTTTCATACAAACCTTTGCCCGCATTTCCTGAATATAGCTCTCAATCGATACATAAATCACTTCTTTTTGTCTCAATTTATACTAAATATTGAAATTATTACAAGATTTCAACGGATAATTCAGTTGTAAATTTTAATCAAATAAATCAAACGGTTGTTTAAATCAATTGAATGATCAAACAATTAAAATGCAGTTTATATTTATTTAAATCATTTCTAAATCACTCGTAAATGTTTGCTTAAAAAAGTATTGTTGGAAAAGCTATAACATTAAGCGACATAACAGTGGATCAGTTGTGGAGTGATATCAATGTCTTTGTTTTGTTTATTCCTATAAACAGTTAGTATTAACTTATCATTGGGTTTGTGGGCATCGATAACATCAGTCAATTGGTAGAGTCTGTAAAACGGTTTGCCATTGATTTTCATTATGTAATCATTGATTTGCAGTCCATTTCTTAAAATTTCAATTGAAAACAATATAAAACAACAAAATTAATTTAAAAATTCATTAAGTTTTAAACTAAATATAATCAACACTTAAACGTACTCTAAATTATTCAATTCATTAAATGGTGTAAATTTGCAAACTTTGAACACTTTATTACTGGCGTTCATATCCTTATACAACACAACTCCCAGTGATTTCCGGTTCGCAAACGAGTACTTCATATCACGATCTCTGGTCTCAAACTCTAAGCCTCTCTTAACGAAAGCTAATCCAAAATTAAACAATAATTTAAATACTAATCAATTAATTGCAATAATTTAATGACAAACCAATGATATCTGCGGCGAAGGCGGCAAAGAAAATGCCATCACTTCTGATGGGAGTGTTGAGCGAAATGCCAATCAGTCGACCGCTGGTGTCGACAACGGGTCCACCGGAATAGCCGTCACTAATGGTCGCCGAGTGTTGGATGTGTTTGTGGTCCGGATTTAGCATCACTTGGAAGTAGGCGTGACTTCCCTGTGATGTGTGGCTCTCCACCCGATCTACCGATGCTATCACTCCAGTGATGAAACTTTGGTCGAGTGTTGAACAGCCGAACGCAACCACTGTTTGACCACATTTGGGGTCAGTGTTGGTGTCGGTCAGCGGTAGGGATCGTAAGACTCCCGGTTTGACCGTAAATAGCCTGACGAGTGCCAACTCGACGCCCGGATCCACGTATACGACCCGTCCGTAAACCGTTTGTATCTCATCGGCGGTCATATCTCTGGACAACAATTGAGATCTAATGTACGGTTTGGCAAAAGTCACGCCAACGTGTGTCAGATCGCACACCACCTGAGCGCTGGTCAATACGTATCCCTTGTCGTCGACAATAAGTCCGGCGCCTAATGTGTGACCACTTGTCGTGTTTTCTGTGATCTTTACCACTGATTCCCAGCATTTCTGTTGAATGTCTTTCACTTTCAACGCGTTATTCAAGTGAACGCTTCTTAGAGTCAAATGTGGTTTCAATTGAATGTTTGGCCAAAATTTGTGTCCATTTTTGTCGTTGTGTTCAAAGAGACGATTGAATGCAATCATAGGAATCGGTACCAGAATTAGACCCCTATTTAAGTGTAATTACAGTAACTTTAATGATATTTGAATTGAAATACTTGTTAAACATATAAAATATGTTAAAATCGTTGATTGCATTCATTTTCACTTATTTTATGCAAACCTTTTAAATTGAAAACTAATCAATCGATTCATCGCTCAATAGTTAACATGAAATCTAATTAAATGCAAAATAATTTTTATTAAGGCTTTAGTATAAACACAAATATTAGAAACGAAATGAGTTTCAGATAATTATTATAATTTAAATCTATGTTTAACTCTATATCTCGAGAGAAAATAAATCTATAATAATAATAAACATGTATTTTAGTATTACTTACAACTTATAAGTGTTTGTATTATTTAAGAGGAATTTTGATATAAAAAACATTTTTAATAATAATTAAAACAATAATTAAACGGAGAATAAGTTGTGAATGAGTTTTGAAATGCCGTATATTTAATAACTAAGGAGATTCCGGAGACTCGACTTCAATTCGGGCCCTTTTGCGCACTTTTGGTATCATTTTCTTAAACAAATAGTCATTCGTTAAGGCATTCATTTGAGTCAAATAATCGCTGTCTTTGAGAACCAGTTTATTAAATGTGTTATCAATGAATGCCTTCACACAAGTCATCAAAGAATCGATTTTATACTCGAATCCAATTCTTGCGACAAATTCCAGATTCTCTTCAGTGATGTTTGCTTTCAATTGGTTTTCATAATAATCGAGAAGTCGTTTGATTTGAAACTTATCGGCGAGTCTATAGACAGCGTATATAAACTCAAAACACGTCTCTTCAGTCAAATTGAAGGGCAATTCGTTTGAATATAAGTACCAAAGAATGACTTTAAAGGCATTGCAAGTCGTGTCCGGAATTTCAATCACTTTATCATTACTTTCGGTATAATTTCCCGAAAACATTGATCGAAAATAATCGCTTTTAATGCATAACAACTCTTTGACGGCCGGAATCCGTTTGCCCTCCACTTTGAACACAACATTACTCTCGGATTCGTTCATAAAATAAGCCAATTCTGGATAAGACTTCATGTCTTTCTATAAAAGTAATCAAATGTTTAAAAATAATTAAAACTTTATTTTCACAAAAAGTATTTACGCTTTGAATTATATTCTCGACATTTGATGGCATAAACACTCCGACGGGCTCTTCGGCTGTAATGATCGCTTCCACGACAATCGTATTGTCTTTAATGAAACCCTTTTCCGGATTCTGTAAATCCTAAACATCGGAAGCAACGAAAACAAACAAATTATGAACAATTAAATGAAATAATTGTAATTAAAAGTAATTAAATTAATTACTTCATATGCGATGAACTTTTGAAAACCCCAATCGTTTTCTTTTAGATTGAATTTGTGTTCAATTTCTGTATTGAAAGACAAATCAATAAATTATTACATAAACACATGTCTGTTAACCAACACTCACTTCGGGTAATGTTGTGTCCGGTGGCCGACTGCGCGACGAGTGTCAGCTCAGCCCTCGCAGTACACGACCAGTTCCTGTGAGTGAGTGGGAGAGAGAGAGAGAGAGAGTATATTATAACACAATGATAGCACAATCGATGGTAACGTACGTTGACTTTGGCTTATATTTACAGCAGAGAAAAATACCAAATTCTTCGTCCGCCTCTTCCGGACCCCAATCGTCGCCACCGATCGGCCAAATCTCACTCGTCTTTACCATCAGTTGCCTAACAAATGGGTTTAATTGTAATCATTGTATCATTAAATTAATTGCGAGTAGCGAATGGGAGTGGGAAAGGGGTGTGTTGTATACCAGGGTAAGTATCGCATGTATGTGACGGCACTGAGTCGGCAGTAATCATGCAATTGGTGGACACGATTGACCACAAACCTGATGGTGGCCTCAGACCGACCCCTCTCTGCGAATGGCAATACAATTGTAGTTATAATGAAGTCATAGATAGTGTACAATATATACAACACAATACATACCCTCTTCGTTGTCACCTGAAGTCGAATCCATTTGTCGTATCGCTTGTGATAACTATCTGTCCGTCACTTGAGATGTGTTGCCGATTGTGTGGACACAACTCAAGTGATTGTGTCATAAAAATAATAGAAATCTATTAATTGTTTTGATTTTGGATCAAAAATGTTGCAAACAATGACTGACAACAACACTGTGTTTGACAGCCAATAGAAATGCGCAAAACAGTTGACTTGAAGTTAGAAAGTCATCACACGATTGGTTAATACTGTCATCACTGCTAATATTAAGCAATGATGAAACATATATGTGTTTACTATAAATAACGTTCGCTAATAAATACACATAAGTTTTGGCACTTAATTACAGCTATTTATATAACTGTCCACCGATTGAGTGATGAGTGTCTGTGCGGACACAACTGTTGCCATGGATTACACATACGTTAGACTATAGGCCAGGCGTTAACGATGTGTCGCCTCATAACTGGCTGTCCATCGCATACTTGGGCCACAATATTGGCCACAAAATTTGTGTCCATTTTTGTCGTTGTGTTCAAAGAGACGAATGAATGCAATCGTAGAAATCGGTGCCAGAATTAGACCCCTATTTAAGTTGAATTGAAATACTTGTTAAACATATAAAATATGTTAAAAACGTTTATTGTATTAATTTTCACTTATTTTAATGCAAACCTTTTGAATTGAAAACTAATCAATCGATTCATCGCTCAATAGTTTACATGAAGTTTAATTAAA